TTAGATTGATTGAAGATTTGACTGTTTCCCTGAGGTTATTCCATAATTATGGTGCTATGTAGGAAAATGAGTATCGAGCCACTTTATTTTTGTATTGCGGTATGCTAAATATTGAACAGCTGGGAAGAGTAAAATACTCCAGGAATCTCCCACCTCCTCCCCAGGTTCCATGAAATCAGGCTGTGTGGTCGGTCTCTTTCAGGAGTATCATATATGCGAAAAACAAGACATTCTTTCTGTGTATCTTGTTCGGGAGTTTGCTCCCCCCAAATGCCACTCTTTTCATATGAATCCTCACGAACATAACTGAAGGTTGAAGTCCCAGCGGTGTTCACACTGTCGAGTGTCCGATTTTAGTTCCATACACTCGACAACCAAACACTGCTGTCTTTGTTTGTGGCTTAATATGGCCACCGCCACATGTTCGCACATTAGAACGACGGCAATTCAGCCGACCGCTTGGAATGTTCAGGTTATTGCGGTTGGTGGAGTTGTGAACAGAGCTTACTGGGGTTAATGAGCGGCACACTCCACATATGGGTTGTCTGGCATTCGGTAATTTGTTCGGTTGTCAAACAAGACATTGTTAATATGTGAGGTGACTGCTATTTTACAGAACGGCCAGATGAACAGGGGAAAGAACAAGATGATACAGGGACTATGAGCATGAAACATAGGAAATAATAGGGGGACAAGATATGGACAGCCCATAGCAGGAATAAGGGTAACAGTCCAAGGATCATTCTGCTACAAGCAGGATGTTTCACGCCTAGTTTTGGGTAAAGTTTTGAAAAGATTTTTGCTAGACCCCATTCAATCCTTTTTTTTGCTAGACCCCATTCTATCCATTTTTTCAATGTGAAGGCTAAAGGATAGATTGGGGTCTAGCAACATACCTAGATATTCAAAAGAGCAGACTGATGTCAGCGTGCTATTTGAATTTGTTCTGATACACAGTTGTTGATTTTGTAGTTTATGTAATTTAGGCACAGTTACAAAGATCATTGTAGCAGTTTTGTCAGTGTTTAGGAAGAGTTTGGTATACGCTATCCACTTTTCCATCCCTGTGAATTGGTTTTGGAGCACAGCCTCAATCTGCGGTAGCTTGGGTTTACTAGCGTAGATTACAGTGTACAGTTGAGGATTTGCAGACATTAGTCAGATAATTTATAAATAATGTGAATAGTAGGGGGCCGAGTATGGAGCCTTGGGAAACACCACATGTGACTGGAAGAGGGAGGGAAGCGCTATCACAAATGGCCATATGTTGCAATCGGTCTGAAATATACGATCAAAACCACGTTAGCAGATGATCACCAATGTCTGAGTATTTAAGTTTTTTGCAAAAGAATGCCATGTTCTAGTGTGTCAAAGGCCTAGGCAAAAATCAAGGAAAATAGCTCCAGTTAAGTCTCCTTGTTCCATGCCAATTTGGATGTCATTGCAAACTTTTTAGAGGGCAGTCGAAGTTCAGTGATTTGGACGAAAGCCTAATTGATCATTTAAGTTCATCCTCCATTTTGAAGTTTAATGCTCATAATTGCAGTATTATCCATATATTAACAACATAAAATATGTATAACTTTTAGCCTAGATCTGATCTTAATTTCTGATCTGATGTCCTTTAAAATAAATATATACTTATTTAAACACTTACTTAAAGAATAAGGAACCTACCAAACCGCAACTCTTCATGAACTGTTGACTTTGCAAAGTTCGAATTTAAGCAATGAACTATAAAGGAACCATGCCTTGCAAATATGAGTAATCTTCGACAATTATCCAAATGTCGTAATGTGACATGATAAGTGTGATGGTAGTCACCATAACTGGGAGCATTAGTTGGACACTTCAATTAGATCCCTGGATGACTCCTATGTTTAATGCACAAGACCCAGCACATTCACTTATCCACTAAACAGCAACTTCAATGCTGACAGATATTATTAGTTGTTTGTTTTTTTTTAAACACCTAATCTAGGTAAAAATAATTACATTATATGATCATACTTTGCATAAGCCTGCCACAATGTCAATGTACCCCATCTTTGGCAGGTTTTTCTCTAACAGCCTAATGGCTGCTCTTATGAGATTAACCCACTTACCTGGGGCTCTCTGCAGTGCAATGCTAAATAGGGCCCTCGGATGAGGCACCTGTGACCAGTGGCGGATCCAGGGGGGGGCAATTGCCCCCCCCCGAGAAATCCGACGGTCTCCCTCTTCCTCCCCTGCCAGCCCTGCAATGTGCCTGCGGACCGGAGGGGAGATCAGGAGGGAGTGAGAGGGAGGACCCGAAAGCTAAGGCTGCAGCTCCTCCGGGTCCTCCTCTCTCGAGATTTGGAGAGTTGCCGCGGTTACCACGGCAACGCTCCAAATCTCGCGAGAGTGAACTCTAGCCCGGGAGCGTGGGCTAGAGTTCACTCTCACCACCTGACCACCAATGAATCCCGCACCGGACCACCAGGGAACGAAATATGTCCCCCCTCCTCCCCAGTAAAGGTAAGAAGGGAAGGGCATAGAATATTTTTTAATTAAATTAAAAAATATTATATTATAAAAAAAAAAGCCACCCTACCCTTATCACACACACACACACATACATTGCCCCCAATACTGCCCCCCATTCACACACACTGCCCCCCCCATACACACACACTGCCCCCATACACACACACCTGCCCCCCCATACACACACACTGCCCCCCCCATTCACACACACACTGCCCCCCATTCACACACACTGCCCCCCCATACACACACACACACTGCCCCCATACACACACACTGCCCCCCATACACACACACACACACTGCAACTGTTACACACACTGCATCCCTGACAAACACTGCCACCCTCACTCACACACTACAACCTTCACACACACACACACACACACACACACACACACTGCACCACTCACACACACCACTGCTCCTATACCCAACTACAGCCCCATTTGCCAGCAGATCTCAGGTAAGTTGTCAAACTGTTCTTAAACGGTTTGACTACTTACTGTGGGAGGGGGTCCCGGCACTATTGACACCATAACCACTACACTGAGCTGTAGTGGTTATTGTGTCTGGATTATTTCTTTAAATGATCTACAAGTGCCCCTCCCGAGATCAGGCTCTGGATCCGCCACTGCCTGTGACAGGGAGGAGGGCAAAAACAAGGAGTTGGCAATACTTCCAAATATATATACATATATATGAAACCAGGGGGCTGCACTCACTTGAACATGCATAAATGGGGTGCTGCTGGGGGCCAAATTATACAATACCCAAGATCCAGCACACTCACTTATTCACTAAGCAGCAACTTCAATGCTGACAGACTCCCATGTTTAAGTCACCCTGTGCCTATAGTGGGTGCAGGGTATGTGTAATGTAATTGTTTAGAGTCAAATGTTAGTATGTTATTCTTATTATTATTATGATATTTATAGAGCGCCGTCAAATTCCGCAGCGCTTTACAATGGGTGGACGAACAGACATGTAGTTGTAACCAGACAAGTTGGACACACAGGAACAGAGGGGTTGAGGGCCCTGCTCAATGAGCTTACATGCTAGAGGGAGTGTTGTAAAATGACACAAAAAGGTAAGGATAGTATTAGACTATTATGTTCTCCTGTTATGCTAATGCTTGCAATCCACTAGGTGGATTTGGCTGTGGAGCCTGTAAAGCGCTACTTGTTGGTTGCAAGGATCTAGCAACAGCTGTATGCACTACCTGAATAGCAAGGATTGCAAATTTGCATATTCAGATAGATTTGCATATTGCAAATTCTGCAGGTAGGAGAGATGTTTTGTGTTTATTATTGTCTTCCCCACTCCTTTATAAATGTTTGTCACAGCAATCTAAGTGTAATTAAGATATGGGCTAGTCCCGAGTTAAAATAAAGTACTGCAGTTAAAATAAACTACCGAATTAAAATAAAGTACTGCATGTTAGTTTCATTTGGAGTTGTGTGCCCTGTGTGGAATTTTAGGGATCCCAGTGACAGTCTTCAGACCTGTTAGCTGGCTGCACGATCCCTCTGGCTAGGTCTAAGTGCTGCAAGTGCCTTTGTAAAGGCAGTAGAAATCACACTGCAGTGAAATAGGCAGAGAGGACGATCCTTGCCTGGAAAGAGAGAGCTGTGTAGGCAGAGAGAATGATACCTGCCTGGAAGGAGAGAGCTGCAGCAGCATACTCGGTACTCAGTTAGAGTACAGGAGCTCAGTCACAAGAAGATACCTGTATAATCTGATGTGTGTTCAACCAATAAACGCAGAATTGATTTAAACCTCACAGAGGTGTTGTGTCTGAGTCAATTCTCCAGGCATGTTGGTGTGGTATGCTGATTGGACGTATGGAGCTGCAACTGTTAGGATCCCCGGGGAAAATAAAATAACCCTAAAAATGACCTTAGAACATTCCATGCCATCTTGGAAATAGTGGGCTTTAAAGCGTGGACTGTTCTTCAGTTTTGTTGTAAGCATTGATAAATCCCTGCTTGCACCAGAGAGTCCTCGTTATCAATAGATCAACGGATATCTGGAGCTTCTCTCTGTCATGTGGGCCCAGATTTAGTGACTCCAAGCTGTCAAATCGACTGTGTGAAGTTGAGCATTCTCACATCCCAATGAAAGTAACATAATGGAATTTCCACGTTACACCACTGCTGATGTCACCGGGTACCACAAATGTCTGGAGGAAACCCACATAGTCTAAATCAGGGGTTCTCAATGCAGTCCTCAAGGACCCCCTACCAGTCCAGGATTTAGGGATTACCTGGGTGTGTCTAAGGTGTTTAGAAAAAAAAAACACCATAGATTCTAAGGTTTTTTTCCTTCTTTTTCTAAACACCTTAGACACATCCAGGTAATCCCTAAATCTTGGAATGGTAGGGGGTCCTTGAGGACTGGGTTGAGAACCCCTGGTCTAAATGGACCATGATAGGGTCTCGAAGTTTCATCTCAGCTTTTTTTATTGAGTGGCCTGTACACCCACCATTTGTGAAAATTCCAGAGGAGGAACCTGACACATGCATCTCCTGATGCCCATTGATGAGGACATGAGGGGGATATATGTCAGGTTCCCCCTCTGGAATTTTAAAGGTCCCATCCCATGTAATGGGGCCTTTCTTAGAGACAGTTTCTGGCTGCTCACTTTATAGTAAACATACCATCACGTACGGCATGGCTGGTGGGGACATATACTAATATTCAAAACATAGGTTTTGTTATTGTTTTTTAATTTTTATTTACATTTATTTAATATGGCAGCTAGCTAACAAGTGTTGGCCACCCTCCACAAGACTTTACCTGTAGGTATTTTTTTTAAACTATATGCGCACAAATACTACGAGGTAAATAGTTCCAATTTTTAAAAACCGACTGAAAGCTGGACTAAGTCGAAGTTCATTCAAAGCCTGCTCAGAAAAATACTGACATTGTTACATACTGTAACGGACCGTTTTGCACAAAAGGGGTAAAAAACGTTTAGGCGATCGGCCCCCTTTCCAGAGATACAGGCACAGCTACTGCAGAACACCAAACTCCCGAACTGGATACAAAATAGCACTCCAACTCCCGAACTGGAACCTCCCAAATTGCTGCTAGCAGACGAACAGGAAAAGCCGTCAATCAGCTTACACTCCTGGCAATCAGTCTCTAACAGCATACAGTGAATCCCCCCAAGAACGAGACAAGGCTCTGTGTTGAGGGTCAAGCAGTGGTCTGAGGTGCTGGCATACCCAGCCTGGTTTTTATTACAGTCTTGCAAATACAGGACCGCCCACAGGGAGGTATAAAACAACCAATCACATCACAGTTACATCCCACATATTCCCTCCCCTTATCCTGAGAGGAAACTCAATTACACATACAGTTAAAACATACTTTCTACCCAACTTTCATAACCCTAAAACCATACATCACATTCACATAAAATTAAATATTCACAATCAATCCATTCAGGGGAACAACATATTAAAAAATGGCATGAATCAGACCAGGGGTTCAAAAGTTAGTAAAAAGTATCTTTTGTACCCTGGCTGGCAGCATGGCTATCTGGCTCAAACAGGTTTTACAGAGCCCTCTATCCTGGACAATGGGGAAAGTAATCCAATTATCCAGGGATAGAGGCAGACTCCATTGAGCACATGGGGACACAAAGACAGTAAAACACTTTAAAATACATCAGGTAAGACACCTTACATTAAAACTATACATTTAACATATCCCCAGATAGCTCAGGTCTGAGCGCACATTATTAAGTGAATGGCGCTCAGACCACACAAATACAGTTTAATCGCCATGGAGCCAAAGTCTTTACAGTCAGTTTCATACGAATGGGCTCCATGGGATTCCTATCTGGGGTATAACACATTCAAACAAATCTACCGAACCCCAGGCAGAAAAGCACGAATGAAGCTTTTCTGCAGGTAAAAAAATATGTCTTTTAACAGGGGGCCATAGTCCAAAGGCAGCAGGCGAGCAACCAGGCTTCTCCAATGCAATGTGGCGAGATTGGTCTCGTCACACATACTATGAGCAAAGTCCAGATTATGCAGTCAGAAAGGCCCCATACTGCTGCAAATGGTTTTATCCCATTCAGTATGTGGCCATTTGGACTTTAGTGACTAACCCGTTTAGGAATAAGTTATTATTTTTCTTTAGCGTCAATCATTGCAAAAATATATTATATAAAAATTATATTTTTAAAAATTACTTTTTTTCCTCATATCTGATATGTGTGGGTGTACTTAATATGAATGTGGAAAATTACAGTTATATATAACAGGTTAAGCATTGTTTTGTTTTTTTTCTTTAATCCTTAATGAGTTAATGATATCTGCTTAACTAGAAGCTGTTAATAAAGCTGATTTAAAATACTTTACCACAAATAATAATGAAGCACCATTTACTGCTGTGTCCCGGATTGTACACCACTCAGTGCTCGGTGGGAAGCTAACATGATTGGCATCTTTAAAGGAGATTAGTGAGCATTTATAGCCCAAAGATATGAAAAAATTGCTCACTTATTCACAAATGATAATAGCGCTTGATGTATTGGATAGAACAATCTTGTCTGTTTAGCAACTCTACAATATCTTACAGACTAAGGATACATTGGGATATTGAATGTAAATGATATGCATTTTGGAGAAACCCTAAATCTCAAGATCTGCCCCAAAAATCCACTTCTCAGCCTTGCAGCCAAGCAGTACAGAATAAACCGCCATGCAGATTATCTTCCTGCTCTCTCATACAAAGTCCAAGGTTATTAAGCCATCATGAAATATGGCACTGCTACATACCCTGGATTATTTGAGGATTTGCATAATTTAATTTCCCTTACTTGTTTGAAGAGTTCCTTGGTCTTCATGGCAGTGTTTGGTTAGTGGTGCCTCTTGCTTAAGTGTTGCAGCCTCTGGGGCCTTTCAATAAAGGTGTGTATATGTAATGACAGATCATGTGACACTAAGATTGCACACAGGTGGACATCATTCCACTAATTATGTGACTTCTGAAGGTAATTGGATGCACCAGAGCTTTTTATGGGCTTCATAACAAAGGGGGTGAATACATATGCACATGCCAATTTTCTATTTCTAAAAAATAGTTTTCTGTATATATTTTTCTCATTTCACTTCACCAACTTAGACTATTGTGTTCTGATCCATCACATAAAATTCAGATTAATAAAACATTGAACTTAAGGCTGTAATGTCACAAAACAGGTAAAAAGTCAAGGAGGGTGAGGCTTTTACTTACGCATGGGCTGTTTGTTGAGTTAATGGATATGTCATCCATTAGAACTTTTGGTTTCCTTATAAAGGCATTGAGAGATAACACTTACTGACACACACACAAAGATTTGTATTCCAGACACTGTTACAGATAGACACAGAAATACAATCACAGATGCACACGCACAGACAGGGCTGCCAAGGTCTGGGCCCGCATCCAAATCCCGCCCACAGGAATACACACACACAGACACAAACACACACACTGATACAAAATGACACAGATACACAAACACACACACACACATGCATACATACTGACACACACATACTGAAACTGTCATAAACACATATACAGGCACCCAGACATACATCGTGACACACATAATAACATACAAACACACACACATGCATGCATACATACATACTGGCATACATACATACAGACACACACACACAAACATACAAATATACTGACATACATACAGACACATACATACATGCATACAGACATACATATTGACAGACATACATACATACATACTAAAAGATATACATACTGACAGACATACATACTGATATACATACATACTGACAGACATACAGACAGACAGACATACTGACATATGTACATACTGTGACAGACCACCTTGTCACTGGAATACAGTATCCTCTTTTTATTCCCTTTTTTGTTCGTTAATGAAATGGAAAATATACTGAGAATTGTATTAATTGTTCCAAATATCTAAATTAATACCAGATATGGTATTAACTGGTATATCTTAATAATTTAGATGTTGCTCCCAAAGTACAAATGAAATAGGATGAATCCAAAATGGAGTCTACTCACCATGTGGGCTATTCCAAAATGGAGTTAGTCACATGTGGCATGCATCACAATGGGAGTCAAATAACACTCTCCTGAAAGTATTACCCAAAAAATTATGAAAAATATTGATTTAACAATTAATATCCAAACTGACACACACCTTGGTAGTTGTGTAAAAGATATATAATGTTTAATATACATGCATAAAGAATCAATATATATATACACATATATAAAACAGTTATCAAATATTATATACTTTAACTAACAATGCAATACTACAACAATCTTAACTGCAATAATCTCACAATGCTAAATACACATCAGCCATTGTATAATAAAAATGATTTTGCCCTACCAAAATGTTATCCAAAAAATATGATTTTCCATTTAATCAAACCACCAAATAATAATTGATTAAACTAAAATGAAACTAAACTAAAATGAGACTAAAATAAAACTAAACTTAAAAATAAAAACAGCGATACAAATACTTATCAGTTGCCAGCTGCAAGATGTTCAATGCTCGGCCTGGAAAAAGATTGGTTCCCTTCCAGCACGTGGCTTCACCTTATAAAGGGACTGAGCATGTGACTTTCCTTACCCAATCCCTGTGTGCCATTGAATGGGGAGGAGTCAGGCATCCATCTTGGCCGCATGGCTCAGACAAAGAAAGTCTCCAAAAAGGTGCTCACTACTCCCCCTAATGGTACAATTCTAAAATGGCCCTCAACATAATAAACTGTATTAAGTGATTTCTAATGAATAAGACCATAATAAACCAGTGTCCATTACAGTTAAAAATATTTTTTTCCCTGTTTTGTTCGGTAATCGAACAAAACCACGAAATACCCAGACCACCCGTATGCTTGTTAACCTCACTCACCCATGTTAACACTTCCCTAATGAGTCACATCTCAGTGTTCTAAACGGTCGGCTGGGGGGGCGTTGTTCTTATGTACGAACACGTGGTGGTAGCCATCTTGTTCCCGTGAACGCAGGCAGCTGTGTTTGGTCGTCAAGTTCATTGAACTAAAATCGGAAACACGACCTTGCGAACAACGCTGAACTTCTATCCCATCTGCGTTCGTTTCTATACATCCTGGATGAATGCTGTACGGTCTAATCATCCCCACGAATGAGGTGAACACTATCTGCCGACTGGCTCAAGCATACATTCGGTATTTTCTGCGTGTTCGTACTCCCAAAAGTGATCGACTGTTACTACTGATTCTATGGAACTATTTTGGGCAGGAGCCTCATGTGCAGTCAGCCAAAATTTTACCCCGGTGGCGTTTCGGCTGTATTTGAGGGATCTGAGTGCTTTTTTGATATATTGTGCGCTTTGATCCAGGGTAACCGGGGATATAAGACTTGTTTGATGTGTGTTTTGGGGTGTTATGTAACTTGTAGATTTTCTGTACCTGAGAGGGAACTGAATTCTCTCTCAGGCACAGAGGATCATGGGAGGGGTGACCCTGTAATGTTGTGTTGGAAACCCCATGCAGCAGGCTTTTGCATAAAAGGCCATG